GGACCATGGTCACTCCACAATAATTCTTCCAGAGGAACTGGAAACTGTAAATTGCCAACTGTTGCTTCAACCCTCGAGAGACATAGTATGACAACACACGCTATCTGCAGGCTGGTTGTGTGTCTGCTGTGTGCCATTTGGAGGTGGTTCCGTCCTCGATCAGTCAGCACCAGGTAGTTGTTTGAAGAAAACAGTACCTAAAATGCAACAAAAAACCAAAGACAGGAGGCATTTAAAGTATTTGTTTTAAACTACGATGGGCTAGATTGTGGTTCTTTAACACATCTCAATACAAACCTAATATTATCTTTAACAAAAAATGATAGATAGAGCCAGTGCGTATCAACAGGAGATGTACTACGTGTAATGATGTACTAACACAAATGAATATCTACTCACTGATGCCAAAGGGTTCTATTAAATGAGATCTGTGTTAGTTATAAGCTATTTCATCCTTTAAATTATTCTCGTTTTTCTTTCTTTTTTCCCTTCATACAATAAATGACAACTGGTCTGGCTTCTTTTACCCTTGAAAAGACAGGTCGTCTCGAATACTAAGATACTGTTTCAATAATGATTAGTACCGCTCGTTGTACACGGATGTCGACTACTTTTGTTTAAATTCACTATTTTTTGACACATTGATCCTTATTTCATATCGTTTTAATGACTGGCAAGGTGGGTATTTGTGAGATAAGCACTAAAATAAAAACAATATGCGCCATTAGGACCTGGGAATCTCACAAATAACGAAACTAGCCTACTTTTGCAGACAGCCATCTGAGGGACTGTGATCCAAAATCAAAATAGGCTTAACATTATCTTTTTATTAAAATTTGGGGGTTTTTTCAGCTAGATATGGATCCCCACAGCTCTGAGAGGTTCAGCTATTCCTTCTTCGGTTGAAGATACCGGTGGTTTCTGTCATTAATTGGTTTGGGGATGAGATGTGCAGGTTCAAGGTTCAAGTAACTAATCAATTCCCCTGTAAGATATTCATACTCTGAAATGATGACTATGGACGCTCCCTCTTTTTTATATCAACCATTGCAATCGAAACAAAGCGCTACCTCAGATTTACAATGTGCTATCTGACCGTTTTGGCTGTTATGAGTTACTAAGGCCTTGTGGTCAGAAACCAATAATTGTTCTATTTCCTCTATCAAAATCGTAAGATTATTCGGGGTTGTTATCAAGATATTCAAATAATTTCATTGAAAAGGCGTAGCATGTTATAAAACTCAATTTTTAAATGTCAAATTTATCAAAATTAGGTACTCTAGCAGACAGAACGTTGTAATTCTAGGGTAGAGATTAGGATCAGTCGATCTGCAGTTTAAGAGTTCCCTAAAGTTTGGGAAAGTCAGAAGTAACTATGTAACTTTCCTCAATTTCATATCTGAATAGAGCTTATTCTGCCAGGGTATAGGCCGTCACTGCTATCTTCTTGAGAGTCTACATAGTTTGTTGTATCAAGAATGTGTCAAAGAGCACGGTGTAGGGCCTAAGAAAGTGCTTCGGGAAAAAGCCTCTACTATCCATCATTATGATGATACTCGCTGTCCAGCAGTCTTCATCACCTTTTAGTATTAGTAGAGGTTTCACGGCGCTCTCAAGATAGAACTTTGTAATTTTGGCTTCCAGCCTTAAGCAGAATAGTAAACAAAAAATACATACAAAAAATTACCAAGTGACAACATCTGTATCAGCAATACCAATAACAACGACAGTATCAATGAAATAACTAACAGTAGCTACTCTACTTACCGTCAATGTATTAAAACAAACAATAAAAGCAACCTTCCCCTTAAGACTACCTTCACCATCATAACAAAAGGTAAACAATGGTATCATGAGCACAATTAGGAAAAAGGAACAACGCAGTACACAAATTTGGAAAGACCCGTATTAGTATTACTGCAAGAAAATACTATCCAGAGTTATAGGAACCGAATGTGATATCAATGATAGTAACGCTGCTTCTGATCAGCTGAGGGATGTTTTTTTGCTGTTGGTTTATTCTTTGAGTAATATACACTTCAACAAAAGCCCGCAGAGCTAACCGTTCTACACAATACACAAATGAAACGTTCAACTTCAGGAATGCCCAACAGAGTTGCGCTTGTTGTTTTCACCTACCTTTGGTAACTCAGTCGAAGCACACGCCGTACCGTTGAGCCATTGGTACAACAATTGTGATTTCAGAGAGTGTGCAATACGGAGAACGGATCTTTCATGTTACTTTATTGATATCATAAGAGTCTCTTCCCTCAACTCTTTGGCTGAATATTAAGCCACCGAATCGATTTTTATGGCTAATTACAAAATGCCCGATCAAATGCAACAATGATTAACCATTATGGTCAGATCAATAAACATCCAAAGTCTACAGCGCGCAGCTAATGTGAGTCACTTCCTCCGGTGGTTAAACAGTGGAGAGAACGCGTATTGTCAAGTCCTTTTGGGTTGTCGGACACTTGACTATAAACAGACTTTCCAATACCATATAAGTGGTCATTCGTTTATAAGATGTCGTGCTGTTTACTTACCTGCTATCTAGTTGGCTGTGAATCCTGTTCGAACCTCCAATGTGTTTAAACTCCAGTAGCCTTTTTCTGGGCGAAATCTCCTGTCATGGTCAAATCTGTGCGCTGGTTAGTGTTATTTGTGTGCTTTGAATATTGATTGCTTCTGTTTCTTTGGTCTTTGTTTGCGTTTAGTATTACATTATTAGTGGTAGTTGTTTGTCTGTTTAATTGTTTGTTTTGTTGGTATATTAAATTGGGAGGGAGAGGGGGCCAGGGGGCAGGGTAAACAATATGTTTGTATTCTATTTTCCCCATAGAAACATTTGACAAAATATAATACATGTATATGAGTAATTTAGTACTGACCAGAACACCTGTAGTACTACTACTATTACAAACAGGATATACCTTTCAAAAGCAATAACAGGCGCTTTACTTTAAAATGTCTTGCCAAAAACTGGACGGTGACTGTACTGATTATATAACAATCGGTCTTTCAAACGTAACTGAGTGTTTTACCTGAAGTATGCCCGGCTTTAAACATGACCTCCCACACACCGAAAGAATTACCACCATAATATAGCAATGTCGGGAGAAACTGGTTCGACTCTTCGCCGTCATACACAAGAGATGGAGGTTCGATTCCCGCTTGAAAAAGTCCACTTATTTATTTGACAATCTCTGCCTGCCAGCTAAGAGAGCGTGTTCAACTTAATCTAAGATTGGCACTTACAGCCAGGGTCGATGCACTCCACCTGCTAAGTGATCTAATTTTTAATCTTTACTAAGTGGGCGTAGAACATTTACAGTTGTTTCCGAACAGTTGGTCAGATCTGTATATACTTAGAGGAGGGTTAGGTGTGCCGATGTAAGTAATGCTGGTCAAAGTACGAGAACAAGAAATAAACTCAATAGGCGTGAAGTAATAACATTTATTTTACATTCGCTTCGACTGTTATAATATCTGTGACGAATAGATTTAACGCCTATTTCAACACAGTAAGATTATCTGAGAGGCGGGACTTTCTAATTTAACGTCGATCTTCCATAGAACCTAGCAAAGTGGGTGAAGAGCCTGAAAAAGTCCCCAAAACAACTGTATTTCAAAACGCCCTGTAGGGGATACGAACCCTGGCTATCTGCTCCTAAGTCCAACGTGATACCAACGGAGCAAACGGAGTGCCCAAACTTGAGGCCTATGCTTGCAAAGGGAAGACAATAATTGGTCCCTTTTAAGGACGAGCGGGCTAACTCAGATTTCGGGGGTTTTCAGAAATCTTGACCTACACCAAAAGTGGGCATTGCCCTATCAATAGGAAAAGTTTGGTTTCTTTGGTGAGCATATTTGTTTGGTTATAGAGAAAGCTCTCCTTGTCTTTTAAAGAAACTAATCTAGGGGCAAAAACTTTACCTTCGATTTGCTCAAAACAGCATTTTTCGGGATATCCTCCTTGTGCTTAAAAGCGATCAATTTTCTTAATGGCACTATGTATGTCTTCATCATATTGTGTCCGCACAATACTACTGTTGTTAAACTAGCAGGTAGTATTAGAATGATTGTGCTCTGTCAGTGTCAGTGGCCTTAAAGATTCCACTAAGAAAGTAATTTTTATCGAATACTTCCGTCTTTTCGTATGAATGTGTGCACCACACTGTCCTTTTTGGTCCTGAGAGACAAGGTCAAGGCGGTTTGTGCTTGAGTTTAGTCGTTTTGCTATAAAGTATGCTTTATACCCCAGCTAGGCAATACAAATCATAATGGGGTGGGGGTGGGAGTGGGGAGGTGTAGGGGAGTAAGGTGCTGCCTCGACCTTGCATGTCACGTAGGGAAATGGGCTATTGTATTCCGTTCGAGTCTGAAGGACAGGAGACCATCGTTCAAATAGACTTTCTCAGGCGGGAATCAAACTCTGGTTTTTGCTTACAGTACAGCACTGAAGAGCCTGTTATTGAAAAATAAATGACGGTCTGGTTGATCTAAGCTGTTGTATCCTTGCGGACAATGACGTTTCTGACCGACAAATCTTTGCGCATGTGTACATTTTCCGCTTGCCGTATGCACGTTGTATTTGTTGTCAACCAATCCAAAGGAAAGAAATATTTTCAATATCTGAATATTATAAACCTACGCTGTTGCATTTTCTGCGTTGGTGCGAATGTGTGTTTGTTTTGTGCTCTCCTGGTCCTTGTCAGAAGTAACACATTACTTGAATAGTGCTATTAATCACTTCGTAATGCAAATCAATCCTCCATTATATCGATTTACTGATGGCTCTATGTCGAAATTAAAGGATGTACACAGAAACCTTGACAAGTTTTGAGACCGTTCCACTGTCTTTGTAAACGTCGGTGATGTGAGAAATAACTATTGGTCAGAACTCCACCGCAATAAGTTCTCCTTCCTTATTCTGCATCAGCTTTCACTGACAGATCGTTACAATTTAATTTGCTAACTCAGGACTGCAGAGTCACTTTGCACCTTTGTCTTTTGGAGGGTCTTCCCAACAGTAAAAGCTCAAATGATAATGGATACATCGGCAGTGCCCAAACCCCAGAATGTGAGTAGTACAATTTTGGACGATGTGAAAAATGATGTGATCTATTTCAAAGACAAAGTTATCATTTCAGTTGCTCTAGGGGAAAGAGGCTTCGGTACATCTGAGGACAAGTTGACAACGTCGTGATCCCAGTGCTTTCTTGTCGTATCTCCATTTTTGATAACAGTGAAAACAGATCATAACAAGGAGTGAGCTTAAGAAGACGTCACATTTTCACTTTTTAAAAAAAGAGATACGACAAGAAAGCACTGAATTCACGATATGCTAATTAATCGTTACAAACCATTGCAAGAAAATGTTGTAGACAGGGACATTAGTAGACTTTGTTCCACTGCAACAACAAAAAGTATGGGACAGCATTTTGTTACAAGAACACCACCCCCACCTC